AGGTACAAGATCAATAGTTGGATTTAAAAACCATTATTTTGGAGGAGCAAGCTAAGAAAAAAAAAAGTCGCCCACACACTCGTACACATCAGCGTAAAGGAATCCAAAAGCAAGATTTAGAATTAATTTCTCACTTCTTCAATTTTCACGTCTTTCTTTTCATGTAAAGTCACATCACTTGCATTATTAAAGGCCGCACTCACATCCTGCGATCTTCCTCCTGCAACTTCAAGAACCTGAAACTTATATTAATCAGCATATCGGAACAAATAAAAATAAAGCATGCGAATGGATTTTGACATAGTTTCAAAGATGCAACTTATCAACCAAATAATGCACGCGATGAGGAAAACAACTAAAAGAAAACCTTCTTCTGATCGTCCCCAAATTTGCAGAACGAATTCTCCAACTCTTTCTCATTACATACTGCATTTTCAGTCAAGCACAATTTCCTTTTCTGCAGAAGACAAGCTGGTTTTCATAAGTTCCTATAAAATCTTTATGGAATGAAGAGGAGACTAATAGAGGATTCAGCAGCAAAACACCAATCCTCAATCTGAATCGATGATGCAAAAGAATATGGTTTAAGAAAAGAAATAAAACAAAAGTATAGATGGGAAAAGAAGATTAACCTTTATCGGCAGAGCCATTTCCTCCGGCGAATCATAGAGTGGAGGGCGGCGAGAGCGATTAAGTAAGTTTTGCTTTGCAGTAGTCGTGAGTGGGACGCGATTGGGAGCAGTGCTGGTACCCATCGAGAGCTCTTTCTTGCAATGTTTCGTTGGGTGGTTTCAGCCCGCAATGGCGCTGTTTATAGGAATCGGGTGGCCCGTGGGATAATGAGCCATCTGGCTGTTTGTTGGCCGTGCCCGGTCCTTTTCATCCTACAGTTCAGGAGCTCTCTTGACCAAATCACGTTGAAATCATCATTTTCGACAGGGTAAACAATTCACAAAACAAATATAATAAATAATAATAATTGCTTAAATCGATACAATCCTACCAATAATGTTGCCTCAAACACATCCTTAGAGGATTGTGTTCACAGGGTGAAGGATTCTCGATGTAAGATCCTTAAGCTTTTATATGATTTTATCTTTTGAATTCATTGATGCATAATGATGTTTGTCTCCCTTAAGATTTGATATGCCGTCAACCGGCACAAATCAAAGGAGGATTTATTATTGATGAAATATTATGTTATTTTCTTTATTATATTTGATGATTCTAATCTAAAAGGGTCTGTATTTTATGACATAACACACTCATTATCAATCATAGTATTGGCGATCCATCTTATAATATCTATAAGATCTTGATGAAAAATTGAAGTCCTACTAGAATTTCACTTTTCTATATGTTTCTTAGCCTAGGGTTTGTTAGTAAGTCTTTAGTTGATCATAGGACTACTATATAAGCTAACAATCACCAAGTTTTACGGAAGGAACTATCTCCCTCCCAATTTCTCTCACATAATTTTCTCAACAAATAACATGTATGATAGTTTGTTGAAGTTAAATTAGAATCAACCAATAATGTCATTTTTGAAATAACATTTAGTCCTTCTTCAGTGTTGTTACATTCATTCCAAATCTAAGAGAGAAGTCTTAACCCTAGTTAGGCTCACTTGTTGTGTAGGAAAACTAATAAATAATAAAATCTTGTTTTCTTAAATAAAATTAGGCACACTCATTTGTAACCCTCAACATTTATAACTTTGATACTTGGAATGAAGAAACCCTCTAATGAGACTCTCTTATGATAGATTAGTTAATATTCTATTATTAAAGACGAATCCTTTCCAAATAATATATGTTGTTATACGCTTTAATTAAGAAAGACATGAGTATGTGAACCTCATTTGTAGTTTGATAGATATACCTACAATTAACCATGAGAAAATTGTACACCTCCTCAAATTGATATGGCATTCAAGTCAATGATTTATTAGAAGGGAATAGAGATGCCTAGAATTGTATATGTTCATACTCTCTCTTTAATTGGATTTGATAATCAGGTCAATCATTTAAAAGTAGTAATTTCCTGTTTTATACATTATTGAGTAAATAAACAAAAAATAAATAAACATGTAAAACTTGAATTCATCTGTCAAGTCTGTTATCCAACCAATTGAAAAATATCATTATGTTCAAATAGATAATGAGACTCAAAGAATATGCATTAATTGAACCCACTTTAATAAAGCTTATTTGGAGGATAATTTATTCTTGCTTATGCTATTGACGTATACGAGTGATGGTATAACATTTTTTCTTATATATAAAAGATTGTATAAGAGAAGACAAGGAAAGCGGCTACTAATAAATTTAGTAAAATTAATGTGAAATATTCATGTAATTCAAATTGCCAGGGTCAAGTAAACGCCATGGTTAAGTAAATAGTCAAGGTACATTCATTCAAGCACATCTCGAAGAAAATGTTCTTGATTACTGATGACATATTTGTATTTAAATTTTTTAACTTAACATTAAGAAACTATGGTTTAAGGAATGTTATCCCATTAGCATAAGATATGTTTTGAAATAGTTTGTCCTTAAGACATGGATTGAATAATTGTATCCAAGTGATGCAATTATTTTTCCACACTAAATCACTAAATTACCAAAAGGTAATAAATTATAAAAGGGTCATTGGTATATGTATAATGTAAAGATAAAAATGATTCAAATAGCTTAGTCATGATTTCATCAATCCATTATTTTAGATAATTAAGCTAAAGCTTAGTTGCTAATATAATTTTCTCAACTTAGTTATAAGATTTTTTGTCATATATTGTAAATTGTATCATCCAAAACCAGTCTCATGATTTTAGATTGAGAATAAAGAACAAGACTTATTAATAGAAAATTTATAGGTGATTGATTATAATGTTGTTAGGTATTATAGTTCATAGTAGTAAAAAACAATGAGAGCAAAAGAGGAGAATGAGATAGCCTACTTATACATACTTAAGTTACTTAACTTGACTCACAATCATATTTAGCTCAAGACGATCACTTCCAAGCTTATGAAGATCTATTGACGTAGTAATTTAAAGCATGCATATGTTATAAGCCATATGTTAAAGAATAAGATATAAAATGCATATTATCTAACTTCAAGTGAAGAAAACTTATATATGTATGTGAAATTGGCCATATTATAAAAATGCACCATTGTTAAAAGGGTTTTAATTATTCACAATTTCTAGTATGTACCTCATATAGAAGATAGATAGAGAACATGTTAAAAATAAAAGTTGATCAAAGGAGCCCTAATTTTAACAAATATCTTTTATAAAACAATGTTAATTCTATAATCAATATATTCAAGGTTATAAAAAGAATTTTTATTATAAAATCCTACTACAAGTTATATAAAACCTAAACAATACATTGAAAAAACAAAGAAAAAAAAACAAAAAAAAGTAATATGTATAAGTAAAATAATGTGTTATGATGGCATAAGAAAATCTAAAGCATTGGCCCATTGTTGGTCGCCAGAATGGACATCCCGTCGCCCCGTTTAAAAGATGTTTAATTTAATATATATATATATGCAAACAATACATCCATCATGAAGAAAAAATACACTACTTACTGGTGATGGCTCGATTAAATAAAGTAAAGAATTTATGACATCTGTTTAAGTTTGAGAAAACACATTTTTTATGTTGACCGACAAGTTCCTCTATTTAATGCGAAAAATTAAATAGGGTTTATATTAAGCTAGGTTCTTAAAATTTTCTATAAAGGCAAACCGTTATAGTTAATTACATCTTAGATAACCAAAGTCACCTAAGAAAACTCTCGATAAAAATCAGAGGATATTTTCTTTAAAAATTTCAAATGAGAAGGACTTCTCAAGAGATCAGACAAAGAGGTGTGAAAAGGGAATGACTCAAATTTGAAATATTTTATTTTGGAATCTAAAGGAAGAAGAACTAAGGGATGTTATGGATCCTGAGGAGAACATCAGTGACTTCCTAAACTATCATATGGTTTTAGCTTCAATTTGGTGAAAGAAATTATTGAAATATTTCATCATGCAAATTTTATTAATTAGGGCTTGCATTTATGCAAGACAGTCGCACAAATTAGCTTGGAAGATGTGAGGATTTAGGTCGTGATGAACGACAACCTCGAAATCCTAAAACAAGTTAGGGATTATATTGTATATCAGAGCCACACAAAGACCTAAAGAAAAAGTTGAGGATTTTTGTTGCACTAGGTAGACAACCTCATGTTGTTGTAGCTCCTCATGCTGTTGCAGATTGCTGTTGTAGAAAGCTGCCCACAAAGTTAGCTCCAAGCTCCTTGGCGAAGTGACAGTCCTAAAGTCTAAGGTTCAAAAAGTTTTACCATAAGTTTTAAAGTTATGGGGGGTTAAAGTTGATTAAAGCGACACCGGTTAGTATCACACAGTTCCCTCGTTCTGATATCGCTATTTTCTTATGGATTTACTTAGCTTAAACGAGTTATGAAACCCATTTAAACCAGATAAATCTCATCAGCAACCATGGGTTACCTCCTCCAAGGGACTCCCGTAAATTCAAAAGGATATTTTAAGTTTAATGATATTTCAAAGAATTTATATTTCAAAGAATTTATGGTATTTCAAAGAATTTATGGTTACCTTTGAAACAATTTGTAGATTTTTTAAAATTTTGATTAATTTTTTAAAATGGTTTTTGATTTTGCAAGAAAAGTAAGGTGCACACTCAAGCAATTATAATATTTTACAAGAGTAAATTGCAAAAAGTAAAATGACAGAAATTAAATAACACTGTAGAAGCTTACATGTCAACTTCTCGACATTACCACTGAAACGTCAGTTTTCACAACATGTATATATATAATTTTATGAAAATTAAGAATAGTTGAAGGTGTATCTTACAAACCCTGAACTATGACTTATTGAGTCCCGAAAGATCTTAGGATAATTTTAGAACAAAATATAGCATGTTCAAGTTGTCCTTCAAAATATCCAAGAGATTTCAAAAGGGGATAACTCTAAACTGCTTTAAAGATCTCTTGAAACATTTGAGTTCATTTTGAACTTATCGTATTGCTCTATTAATCATCTCAGGTCAAATTAAAAATCAGCCTATTACTTGGTGAACCCTGACATTTTGATCATCCCGAAGACAGGGTACTCAATTAACCAATTGATATTTCAATTAAAAGTTATGTGAGTGAATGTTCCTAAGGCAAGTTTAGGTCATTAAAATTTATTTGTACCCACCACTAAAGTTGGGCTCGCAGTGCTTAGAAATGCCTATCATCAATCATGTTATCCTTTTAAATCTCATCAAATGAATTTAAATATCAAGCCTAGATCACTATCAAGCCCTTAACAATCTCAATGGGAAAAAAATAGCAAATGTTAGAATTTTAATTCAGGTGGTGTGTATCATGTTTAAAAGATCATATCACCATTAATTGTGGACTTAACATAAGTGAAATATCATCTCCCTAACTTAATTCATCCACTTAAGAAACATTTGATTTTGATTAACTTCCAAATCTTGATAGTTTAACAAATCATAATTTTATTCTTATTATGGAAAGGTGGCAAGTTGGTTTTTACATTTTACCCATTATGTTTCAATCATCCAAACATATTCATTAGGATCAAAATTACCCAATTTTTGCTTTGGTTAATCCTAAATTTTAATTAAGGCACAAAAATCTAAAATTACCCCTTTGCCCTTGGTACTCTCCACCTCATAACTCATTAAGCATAATTCAAATGACTTTAAAATTTTTAGAGTACCC